GACGGTATAGCATTATTGCTAGCTACGATCCAGGTATCTGTTTAGATATTGATCAGAAGGTTGCTGTCCATAATCTCTCTCTTTGCCAATTATTACTTATTACAAGTAAAAGATATCGCAGATAATTTGTTTAAAAGCAGGTTCGATATTAGATAGCAAACTGATATTACCAGTTACAGTGATGGCCAGAGATAAAGGTAATCATCCAGAAAACCTTCTGTTCACATTCTCACTATTCACATAATGCTTGTTAGTTTCCTATTCCTATTCTCCCTACAAAATTTATAATCGCAGGTAATTCCTCATTAAGTGGGTTCAATATTAAATACTAAGCCACCAGATGCAGATAATTTCCCAGAGATTTGTAAAAACACCATATTCTTTCTCCTCGCTAAGTATGACTCATTACAGATGAAGTCATTTTCCATGTAATTCGATCCAGTATTAACAGACAATCTAATATCGCTGGTAAAAGCGATCCAACTAAATATTCGTAGTCTTCCCCTAATATGTTAGGTAAATATTATGATAAATAATTTTTATCGGATTGAATTCAATAGTGATTGGTGGGTGGAAGTGATAATGCCTCTCTCACGCATCTATAGGAACACTGCCTTTCTTCTTCCCTCTCTTTGACATATATAACTTCTTACAGGTAAGAGATTGCGCAGAGTCAAGACTAATCAGTAGCTGAGTATCATTGATAGCAATGATAACAAAGCGTATCTATGGGAAACACATCGTCCACGATCTTCTTCTTCCGAAGGAGTATTATTGTAGGTAATTTTTATCGAGTTAGGTTCAATATTGGGAAACAGTCTAGGATCACTGCTGGAAGCTCTTCAAGTAGTTATTAAAGGTTGGAGTTATCGCAGGTTATTTTTCACCGAAATGGTTTCAAAGGGTAATTAGAAGTGCAGCATTGCTGCTGACAGCAAAGAGGTAATAGATCTCTGTAAGAAGACTGTTCTCAACATTCTTCCTCTTCGCACAAAGGTTTCTTGTTACAGGCAATGAGATAACGCAGTGGATTGAATTAAATTCGTTTATAATCAGCGAGTTCTAGTCTCATTGATAATAGTGATACCAAGTTTTTGTTTAGATATCAGTAAAAACGCTCTATACCAGTTGCGATGGAGGATAAACGCAGGATAGTCCCACCTTTTAGTATATCGATCAATTCAAAAAGCCATTCTTTGATCTAAGCTCTCTGTCTCGCCTGATATATGTCCGCGTATTTTTGTATTCAATCTACAGGTCGGAAATTTTTGCGACGGAAAACGAGTGAATAGCTATTCTAATTGAACATGTATAGGGCATCGGGTTTGCTCGACTCTAATATTTTAATCTAATGTTAATCGAACTGGCAGACTAGCATTCATATGATTTCCATCGGGCCTTGTTACTTAAACCCTAGATCGTTGAGTATTTTTTTTTGTAAGGTTTTTTTTAGCCACCTGGCAACCCTTTTGCACCAAGTATTTTCTAAAACTTGCTTTCTTCTCTTTTTTTTTTTTTTTGAGATGACACAGTCTCCACGTAAACGATTAATCTTCTGTGACTTCATCGTTTATATAAAAATAAAAATTATAACTGCAATCAGTTGTTAATGGGAGTACACAATATAGCTCCTCTAAGTTTTTATAAATTATTAATCAAATACAATAGATGGCGCTTTACTATTCATAATTCGTTATGAAAGCAATCAATTAAATAACATTTTCCTCAATTATCGTCGGCGACCGATGCGTTTATGCAAAACTATATTTTATGCAAATACTTGAATAAAATTTGCCGTCGCACAATACGATTAGAAATGCAAAAATTCTCAAACGTTTTTATGACAATTTAAATATTCATGCAACTATTATTATGAATGATGATATATATCTATCTCTCGAAACTATAGCAAATAGTCAGATTTATTCAACACCGGCAACTAATCGCTTTATGTGTCACAAAAAGTGTGAAAACTGATAAAAACTAAATTTTGATAGCCGTACAAACACTCACTCGCGTATACATATGGATGTGCATATGCCATATACAAGTCAAATAAACACACGGTCTTTATATTTATATTTTAGAAAATCAAAACATATCTAGAAAAAAAAAAACATTAAAAACACAAACACACAAAAAAAATCGACAGCAACATGTTAGTTTTTGTGACGTTTGTTGTTTTTATCGTTTTCTAAAACATTTGAATTTCAGTTAAGCGTTAAAAAAGCCTCAAATATTTTGTTATCTAATGTTTTCTATGTTTTTTTTCCCCCCCCTTTCCGCTCACAATTTTTTTCTGTTTGCCGGCTTTGTTTTTATTTATTGTATAGAAAATTGAATGATTTTATAGGTTATTGGGATGCGATATTTTTATTGCTTTGATTTTCTAAAATTCATTTAGTGAAAATAATAATAAAAATATTATTTGTTTACAAAACGAGAAGTAATCAGTATGAGACGTTTTTGGCGATTCAGGCGTAAACATAAGTTTCTTTATTTTATTTAATTTTCTTATACCCTGCACGAATTGTGCTATAGGGTACATTAAGTTGGTCCGGATGTATGTAAAACGCAGAAGGACTTAAGATAAACCATTTTTTTCGTTATCTTATCCATCTCTCTGTCTGTCCGTGTAAGTTTGTATTCAAGCTACAGGTCGAAATTTTTGAGATACATTGATAAAATTTGGTACACCTACGTGCTTTGCTTTAAGAACGGACGCTATTCAAAATAGTTTGAATAGGTTTACATTTTCGACCACTGCCCACATAACGTCCCATTATGAAAAGTCTTTATGTTATGGTAAAAATTTTCGAAATTTCTCTACACAAGTGCCCAAGTAATAGTATTTCGACTTTCTAAATTGGTGTGAAAATTTTGAACTAGCTGGGGCAATTTTTTGAACCTCTTCTCATATGACGAAAAGGTCCAATTTTCAATACTTCATAATAAAAATCAGATCATAATAGTCGTTTATGATAACAAAAATTAACAGCAGCAAATTTGGACCATTTGAATCTATTTTTTGGATCCTACCCTAATGAAGAATTTTCACAAAAATTGTATCTTTATAGGGCAGAAAAGTTTAGATTTTAATATGTTAGGATAAAAATTAACCCATAATTGTAATATTATATAAAAATGAACTATACAAAATTTAGACTATCCACGCCTATTGTTAGGTCCTACTTTTTAGTCTTTTAGGACAGAAAAATTTAAGATTTAATATTTTTTTAAGAAAATTGAGTTATAACAGATGCTAAATTTTGAACCTCTTGGGCACAATCATTCTTACAGAGAGTAAGCTTTTATTTGCAAAGAGATCTAATTTGTAAGATACATTTCATATACATACTTACATAAGTTCGCATAAGAAACAGGCTATAATTTTTGTGGTCTATGGCAAAAGTAAGAATTGTTTTAGACAATATGGTTTAATAGCCGGCCTAGCCTGGCTTATTCTACTCCTATTTACATTTATTGTGCGGCGTGTTCAGCACAAAGGGTTCACTTTGAAAATCGAATTAAATCTACATTCGTTTCATGCATACCTGAACTGCTAATGTTGCCTTGAACGAATAGATTCTCTTCTACAAATTTACCATAGGTCTTACCATCTCAATAAAAAGTCATTAGTTTAATTTAATTTATTAATTAATAATAATTATTATTGTTAATTTATGCAATATTAAAAATTACTGTAATTAATAATTAATGTGCCAGTAGGATTATCGAGTCCCTTCCGAGACGATGGTGAACAGCAGTGAAGATAGCAATACAGATAACATAACTATATCGTACATTATACGAAGTAAAGCCATAATCATTATACATTATAGGAATAAAGCTCGAAAAGTAAGATTTAAATCATTTTATTATTGCAAATCTACATCGTCACAGTGATCGTCAAAGTGATCCCTCCCAGATATTATTGACTTATGTCAACGTTTTTCCCGATCCTCGGCATAGTGACTATAGTTGTTTGCCGGATTCAACTTGTGTCTATCTCGTCAATCGAGTCAAGACGTTGTCTTTTGATTTCAGGAAGTAACCCGAAGTCACATGGGGATAGGTTAATACGGTAGTTGTGGTAGAATTTTTAACGAAATGGTTTTGAAGAACCAAAGAAGATATTGGGAGCTTTTCAGGTTGAAAATATTCTTTGACGTGCTATTGTCCGATTCGTTTTTGAAATGCCAACAGCGCCAGCAAGATCTCTCCTAACTGTTAATTGAAGAATTTTGAATACCGAACCTTTGCTTTGTACGACGTAACCTCCGGGATGCGTGTCGAATATAATTATTCCCAAATTCAGGCAAGAGGCCAAAAGTGCCGGTGTATGGAGTTGACTGCGGCATATTGTGTTAAATGACGTAAGAACCCAATTAACCTAAAGAGATTTCTCTCTTCACTTTGTCTTTGAGAATTTTAACCTCAGAGCCGTTATTTGCTTTTTGCCACGGCCCGGCTGACGTTACATCTTTTTGCTCACCTGTCTGCCTGCTTCGCCATATATTATTTTAACCTTCCTAAGTTGATTACTCGCCATAGGAGCGGACAATGGAAAGCGGGTGTGAGTTTCCGAAAATCAGAAGTGTAAGAGACGACACGATCAGTCCACAATAATTTTAAGATTTTCTCATTAACAGCTAATTAACGGTTCATTTGCAAATGGCGGCAGATAATTGTGTAGTGAAACGAAGTTTTTCGATTGTTGCACTTAAGTCCGTATTAGAGTAAAAGAAATTTTTCATATATTTTTCTTACATATTAACTTGTATATAAATATCTATCTTCCACTTGTTCTATATCTTTCTTCCTCTTCATATTTACTATTTCAATGCACTTTTTTCTTTTTTTTCTCATTCTCTCTCTTTCTTTTTTTTTTCTCTCTCTCTCTCTCTCTCTTTCTCTCTCTCTTTTTTTTTTCTCTATATTCTATATTCTTCTTACACGTTCAACTTCTCTTCGCATGATTATCTTTATAATAAATTCAGCAATGCGGCCAGCACAGCAAAGATATCTCGGAATATAATACGTGGCCAGCGCCGCCAACGCTACGTCACCACATGTCCAACAAACAAGGATATGAGGTACATGCACACAACTGATATCTATTAACAACAAACTATTGCAATAAAAACAACCATTAAATCATACAAAAAAAAAAAGGGAAACCAAAGTTTATTCTATTTATTATGTTTTAGGAAAAAAAAAAAAAAAAAAAAAAAAATTATTAATTAAGTGAGAAATTCGATTATGAGCACATAACCATAGGTATTACATGACTGTAAGTAAATTGTGTTTGAAAGCGAAAAAATATGCAGAAAAATACCACAAAACATGCCCTCACACCATCCGGCTTAGCTGAGTTCTATCTAACACTCTCTGGCCTGTTAGGCGAGATGTGTTAGATTATTATTATTATTATTATTTTTGTGTTTTTTATTTTTATTTTATTTTTTTTTTTTTGTAGCAAAGCACGTGATTTGTTTTTATTCATTTTTTGTTAATATTTTTTTTTTTTTTGTTTTTTTATTTAGCCGTTAAATTTCATTTTTATTTACTTCTCGTCATGGCTTTAGCCCAGGTCATGGATATTGTAGACACATGTACCATCGTAGTCGTAGATATTTTTATTGCTCATGCTTTTCTCCCTTTCAAAGCCTGTTGCCTGTAGTTATTGTTTTTCAATACGTGCTAAACTAGAATATAAAAAAATATTATGTTTTTTCTTTTGTTTTCTTTGATGATTAGAACGGAATTTTAACCTACATATCCGCGCGTTAGTCGTCGCGCTTTATTTACAGATTTTTATTTTTCATTTTCCCCTTTTTTTTACGAATTTATTCAACTCTTAAATATTGGATATAACGTTTAGTTTATTATGACTTGAGGTTGCTTTTAAAAAGTCGCGCTATCAACATATTCGTGCTAATAAGTCGTTCGTAATCAATCAAAAGGGCTCTGTGGGCATCTGTAGAGAATTAGGAATTGATTTTTCATTAATTTGACTTAAATCATTTACATTAGTAGTTATGCCTTTTTAGCTATAACTGCGATTCAAATCAACTCTGCGATTCCATCGCTGGTAGCGTTTAGAAATATGAAGACAATGATCAGATTTTTTTCTTTGTCCGATCATTCGCAAGACAATCCCTGCGTCTCTAACACAGTGACGGCCAGAAAGATGTGAAGAAAGAGAAGGAGATATGAGGTGATCGCAACCTATTGAATGCGTGCTTTAATCATTAAGTATTATGACTTCACCGTCTGAACGCTCACTATAGTTACGACCTAAAGATCTTCTACCGCATCATAGCATAAGCTTTAGTTGTCTAAAATTTTATATATGTGGTCCAAATCTGTAGCTGTTATATGTTTATCGATCGAGCGCACTCAACACAGCTACCACCAAAGTGAACTTTACTGCACCGTGAAATTATCGGAGCCTGCTGAAATCTGCTGAACGTTCTGCTTAGCTAATTTTTCATTGCTAAATACTAACAGAGAGATAAATATTAGTGACCTCTAAAGCCCGATAAGCCCAATGCACCAATCAAGTTTTACTTGCTTATATTATTATTATTATTATTATTATTATAAATTTAGCCAGAGAATAAATTCTAAGACTAAAGTCTTAAAGCACTAGCGTCTAGGGCTATCGGCTTTTTTATTAAAAAACTCTACCGCACTTGAGGTTTGAACCCACGACTATTGAGTTGCTAGTCGAGACTCTTGTCTACTCGGCCACTCAGGCGGATACTTGTTTATATATATTTTATATATGTGATCTAAATCTGTAACTATTATGTCTTCATCAAGAGAGGGCACTCACAAAAGCTGCCGTCAAAGAAAACTTTGACATAGTGAGATATGAACCCCGTCTTGATAATAGCGACTGTAATCTACTCAGCCTAAACAGTTTTTCACGCGTAGACCCCTACTTTCAATCTAATGAAATTGTTTGTCAAAGAAATTTTTCAATCTAGAGCGGTTGAGTTAAAAAACATGAACTTCTTCCTTCTAATTTAAAAATTATATTTAAACCTAACCATACTTACAGCATTTGGCACTCAATAGTAAATATTTTCTCCCCAACCTGCTTAGAATTAATAGCAAATGTCTGGGTAAAACAACACTTGAAGAGGGATTTTGCTCGAAACACGCTTCTTCGTAACCGTAAATGGCGTAATTCCAGAAGCTTTCTTCATCATTAAGAATAATTTCGTGAAGAGAAGTACGGGCGGGATTGTCATTCAATTAATTTAAACATTCTTTGTGATCAAAAGAGAGACTTTTTACGCCATAATCCACTTGGGGTAATCACTGAATCTGAATCTGGAACAATACAAGCTCGCCTGACCGTCAGTCCATCTGTCCGGCAGTTTTGCTTTTCTGCATTCAATCCACAGCTCGCAACTTTTGAGATACGTTGATGAAATTTGATGCGTTGACGTGTCTTGACAAAAGGACGAACGCTGCTGAAAGTGATTTGGGTCGGGCCAACTTTTTCGACCATTTCATTTATAAGGTTTCGTTTTGAGAATTCAGTATACGAATTAATACAGCCTTAGGGTATTTAATGGCGGGAGTTTTACTTGTTTTGCCCAAGAATCGAACCTTTAATGCTTACCAAGCATTCAATATAATTTTAAAATAACCTCTCGCTCTTTTCTAGCCATAGCGATGAAGATTAAAATTTCCTTCCGGCTGTTGCAAAAGCTTTGACGAAACGAATGTACATCCTCGTCCTTCGGAGGGGGTTGCAACAATGGTTATATAATGCTTAACCGTCTACCGGATGTCATGAATAAAGAAAATAAATAAATACATACATACATATATATGAACATAAAAGTATATAGTATAGCTTATAAAACACAAAACGAGTAAATATTATCCATATTCGCCACAACGTTAGTGTGAGAAACGAATTGAATGACGATAGTCTAAATATCTAAATTAATTTAGATGATAATTGAGGGCGTTCAACCACAAATCATCAAACTGTAGCGATATGTTTTTTATACTCTTGACAATATTGCAGGGTATAAAGGTAAATATAAGTGTGTATGGATGTGCATGTGGATATAAAATTAACCCAAAGTTTATAATAATCGGAAACAGAAATTATTTACTAATTATTTTGCAAGCAAATCTTAATTTTATTATTCCGTTACTAAACCCTCCTCCCCCCGTATGTATGTAAGCACATAGAGCGTTTGAAAACTTTATTCTACGGAAATTTGTGCAAACAAAATTACATTTACGCATAAAACTTTATCTTCTGAAGATTACACTTGTAATCATTAGATTAATTAAAAAGTTGGTGAGAAATAGCGAGAACGGTTACAAAGCGTTTAGTACATTCTCCCCTTAGCTTTAATCACGTTACAGGGGATTTTTTAAGTTGTTTGTTACATCTCTGAAACGGTTCTCTGTAATCTTTTCAACATATTTGTCTACGAGAGCTTTCACTGCCTTTGCTTAATACCAGATAGACTTTGCTTCTTATAAAAATGAAGGATGGGATCAAGCGCTTCCGTCCTTCTGGATATCTGTATATAGCAAACTCAAAGAGGATCATAACTACGAAATATGGTATATGGTCCCGTAACCCAGATTGGCAATTACAAGATCAATCTGCGGATCTTATCAAAAAATTGCTTTATTTTTATCACCCTTTAGTTGGAGGTAGGTCCATTTTATCAAAACGTTTACAACAAATAGAACAACGTTTCAGTTTTCAATATAAAAGACAAGTGGGTGTTGAAGGCATGTCCTTTGAAAAGATCAAGTCACTTCCAAAATCTTTTGCAAATTCGTAGGCGATATCTTTAACATGTACATTGCGCACTTGGATGGACAGATGGACTGACGAACATGCATTCCGGTTAAGTGCATTCCAAATTTGAAACTGGCCAAGAATTTATGAACTCTGCGCGCTGCAAACGTTTTGGCAAAATAAGTATCCCACTTATCCTTCGGTGATAGGTGTAAAAACAAGTGAAAAGATTGCAGTTGGACGCGTTGCTCCATTAAAAAGCCTACACCACTTCGTTTGATGCAGTCATTCAGCGGCTTTATACCGGGGGGGTCTGAAAAAATAGTTGCTTCGAAACCATTTTCAATATCTATTGTCCATGGACCAAAACACTTAAGTGTATCAAGGTCGCAAAAATTGTGACCTGTAGGCTGAATCAAGACACCCAAGCGAACGGACGGACAGGCTAGCCTAAATGGATGCAAAAAAATAATGAAATCGTAAAAGTTGACTCTGTCTCAAGTCCCTCTGAATATTAGATCCCGCAACCCCTTAAGAGCTATAGGGTGTAGTAAAAAGTTTCTTATAATATGATTCCAATACAGCACAACCTGAATTAACCCTGTTAAGTAAGACACGCCCGCAATTTATCGCATAGAATACATTTCTTGCGTTAGAGGACGGCTCTACTGAATATTACTTCAAAGGGAATGAAAGAAAGCGTTACGTAAGCAATGACAATAGACAATAGCCCCAATTTCGTTAGGTTAGGTTAGCATAAGCTTTAAACGATAACTTGGCGATAGATTGTTGGCGATAGGTTGTCTTTGTTGCATTTGAATTTTTTTGACTAAGTTTGCTTTGCTTCCCCACTCCAGAGCCTTTATATAGAGCGAGCAATAAGTGGTTAGCTCTTCTTTAAGGAAAATGTTAAACGTTACGGACAAACACTCGGCATTATCTTATTATATAAAATGTATATTGTGTTGATTTAATTTTTTCAAGCAATAATTTTGTTTTTATTTTCATTACTACTTTCAGGCTAAAATGAACGATCATCATAATAATCTACAAAAAGGTAAAAAAATGTTTTGTTTTTTTTTTTCATATTAATTGAAAGTTTTTGCAAAGAAAAATAAATAAATGAGTAGCTAAAGCTAAAAGTACAAATTAATAAATTTAAATATAATATATTCCTTTACTTTTGCTTACATATGATTACTGGCTGTTTTTTTTTTTTTTTTTTTTTTGTTTTTCATATAATTGTCTTTTGTTTGTTTTTTCTTTTTTTCTTTTTCTCTCTTTACATATTTTCAGCCTTAATTGATTGTTATCTCTATTTTCTTTAGTTGTTATACTTCTTGTATTTTAGTATTTTTTTCGTAATTTTTTCCGTCTTTTCCTCTTTCTTATCCAAAGCATTGTTTAACACTGATATCATCGCTTCTGTTCACTTTTTATCGTTGTTACTGTTGTTATTGTTGTTATTGTTGTACTTTTGCTTCATCTTAGCAAAGGTAATCACTTCGTATGGCAGAATGTTTTTAGGACGACTATCGTCATAGCCTAGCCTAGGTTTAGCTTTAATGTTATTTAAACTAAACGAGAAGAAGCGAAAAAAGCAAAATAAATAAATAAATAAATGAATAAAAATATAACAAAAAAAAAAAAAAAACCTCAGGGAGGTCTTACATGTACCTGTCATTGATTCTAAACTGTAAGGAAAAATTGTAATCTTCTCTAGCTCCCGCCATTAGCGTTTCATACCTTCATGCCTTAAACTCATGTATAGGATGAACATACATTGTAGTTATTGCTTATATAGACTCATGCCCATACATATATACACATATATGTATGGATGAACGTATGCAAGCAGCACTTGTTGTTTCTTCGTATTTTGCATTTACTTCGCGAGCATTTTTATTGCTGTTGTTTATTATGCTTAACAAGCTGTAAGCATTTTGTTTATTTGTACCTAAGCTTCGCTACTTGTGCTACTGTTGTTGTTTATTAACCACGTTTTTAGCATACATTTCCTTGTGCATACATATAATGCACATATAAGTAGGCTTGTATACGCTTGTGTTATGTATTTTCACATATTTACTAACATATGCCAGCTTACTTAAGCTTGTCTTCAAATAGTTGCGAAAACTTTGAATTTCGGTTAAAGGTCAACTGCTTTCAGCAATTTTTAGTTACATTCAATAAAATTAGATTTACAAGATAATCAAGACAGATAAGGTAGACAACATCGATTAACAGTTTATAACGAAAATTTGTGTTAATACGAGTTGCAAGAAAACTCATTCGAAGACACAATAACAGATGATAAGAGATAAAAAAGATAGGTTAAGTCGCAATAGGATAAAATGAGCCAGAGAAGAGTTATGTACGCGAAAATTGATTAAAAAGCAGCACGAAGTAGAATAAAATACCATAGGATAGATAACAAGGGTAATATGGAATGAGAGAGATTAAAGTAGGATGGAATCTACGAGGTGACGGCAATGGGATAAAATTCGGTAAAGTAGAATGAAATACAATATAACAACATAGGATTGAATAAAATGGATAACATAAAATAGGAGAGATTGAAATTTTGATAGAATTCGGGTTAAGCCTAATAAGAATACAGAATAAGGGACATTGAAATAGGTTAAGACGCAATAGAATAAATTGACCTAGGCTAAGGTTGGATTAGATAAAATGGAATAAGGTAACATAAAGCAGAATAAAACAGCATAGGATGGCATGCATAATAATAGTATAGAATAAGGGACATTGAAATAGGTTAGAATTTGCATTAAGATGCAGTAGGATATTTTGACCTAGGCTAAGGTTGGATAAGATAAAATTGGACAAAGTAGCATGATATAGCAGCACAGGACACCACACGAAAAAATAATACGGAATAAAGGATATTGAAGTACGTTCGAATTTGGGTTAAAACCTAGTAGGATAAATTGATCTAGGCTAAGGTTGGATTAGATGAAATTGAATAGGGTAACATAAAGTAGAATAAAACAGCATAGGATGGCATGCATAATAATAATATAGAATAAGGGACATTGAAATAGGTTAGAATTTGTATTAAGATGCAGTAGGATATTTTGACCTAGGCTAAGGTTGGATTAGATAAAATGGAATAAAGTAACATAAAGTAGAATAAAACAGCATAGGATGGCATGCATAATAATAGTATAGAATAAGGGGCCGTGAAATAGGTTAGAATTTGGGTAGGATAAATTGACCTAGACTAAGATTGTATAAGTTAAAATTGGACAAAGTAGCATGGTGTAGCAGCAGAGAATAGCACACAAAAAAATAATACAGAATAAAGGACATTGAAGTACGTTCGAATTTGGATTAAAACCTAGTAGGATAAATTGACCTAGGCTAAGGTTGGATAAGATAAAATTGGATAGGGTAACATAAAGTAGAATAAAACAGCATATGATGGCAGGCATAATAATAATATAGAATAGGGGACATTCAAGTATGTTAGAATTTGGGTTAATATAAAACTAGATTGGATAAGATTAAACTAGATAAAGTAACATGAAGTAGCTTTAAACAGCATAGGATATAGTATAGTTACGATTATTGAGCCAAAGATACGATACACGATCGGGTTCTTGATGAGGGCGTATCCGGCACCAGTTTACAAACAAAGCCAATCCCCAAAGTGGAAATGAAAAAAGATCCAACGAACCGCACATCGGCAATACGTCTTGGTAGTGTTTAACGGTATACGCTGGAAGAACAGGAACGAACTCTGTTTCAGTTGTCTATGTCGAATTGCCGTTATCCTTTTCGAAGTCATGTGTTTAACAGTTTTCATAAAAAATCTAACGTCCCTGCCTTAATTCTAACTTGCAAGGTCGAAGCTGCAGAATGCTGCATTATTAGGATAACCCACGGATTTGTCCAATGTCTTTGAGTGGGCAGTAGAAATAGAAGCAGTTTGCTTTCTAAACTTAAGTCAATTTTAAGCCAATCTTTGCGAAAGCATTCCTTATCGTAGAATTTGAAAAAAAATCGCGAAACCGTTAAGAAAACGATAAACATTTCAAAACGTTTCTAAACTTAGGTTAATGGCACATTCCAGATATCAATCATTTATAAATATTTCAGTTTATTAAGAATATTACGTACACACACTTCATTTCGCTCTCGGCATTCTAGCCGACGCACACTTTATATGTCACTCTTTGCATTTTTTTTTCTTTGTTTCTTTGTTTCTTTCTTTCTTTTTATTAATTAAACCGCAAAATGCAATGAATCAAACCTCTAAACCTCTAAAAGCAATTGAAGCGTCTTGAGTAATTTTTGGCATTAAGACACTGACAAGCGACAGTCTGGTTATAAAATGAAATGGATTGAAACAGGTTACTGCCGCAGCCAGTTGAGCCACATAAGTAGCAAAGTCGCGCGCAAAAAAAAGAAAAAGAAAATAGAAAAAAAAAAACGAAAAGAAAAGAAAAAAATGAGTGCCGCCTTCAAATGGTCTGTCAGTCTACGGATGGACATGTAATAAAAATGAATAGAGGACACGAGAAATTTTTACAACTATCTACCGTATATGGTGGTGCTCAATAGGTGGCGCCACTGCACATATCTAACGCTTTTGCTGCGACCACTGTTACTGTAACGCAGCTAACTCGCTAACTAGCGCTGTCACAGCCTAAAGCTTAGACAATAATTTTTATACACATATATATATATGTGTACATACGTAGATATTATTGCATGCATGCATGCATACATATACATACATATAAATAGATATACATATATCTTTCTTCTTTTTTTTTGTTGTTGTTGTTAAATTTTTTGCTCAACTAAACAACATAATTATCGGGGCAATGAAATGAATTTAATAGACATCTCTAAACGGCTGGCCGGCTGTCTGTCGGCTTGTCTACCTTGGTGCGATTGCACAGTATATATAATACCAGCATCCATTAGATTTCCTTTATAAACTTGTCATTCATATCGATTTTGTCTTTGTTTCATTTCAAATAACAGGTCATTTTCTGGAAGACAATCGTTTAGATCATCATAGCGTGACAGGGCAAGGTAAATAATGATAAGAAAATGAAAATTATTTCTTCGTCTTGTGATTGTGATAAGAATTGTTCACATTTTACTTTTAGGCGGTGGCGTTTTAGGACCTACCGGTGCTGTCGCCCATCACGGCAATCATGTCGGTCATCATGGCTCAGCGGCGGCAGCCGCTCTTCTTGTAGTTCCCCAGCCTATTAATGCCACGAAAATTGGCGCTTCATTGGGTGGGTCTGGTGGGGGCGGGGGAACCGGTGGCGGCGGTACTGGCCGCAAATATCAATGCAAAATGTGCCCTCAGGTAAGCGTCAATATACAATTTCCATGATACTCATATAAATGAAATCAAGTTTTGGTAGCATAAGCTGCTTACGTTCATATTAGCGAGTTAAGTACTTGAACATATTTTGAAGGATTATCGTTTTCAATTACAAATCATATGCAGTGGTTTGAATGAAAACTTATCTATGACTATTTGTTTGCTTTGATTCCAAACATATTGATATAAACATTAATTTTAAAATCAGTTTTTTTTTTTTTTTTTTGAATCGATTTCAAAATGTGTCTTTATACCCCAGACCATTTTTGGGTGCAAAGACATATTACGTTTGAGCGGATGAATGCAACAACCAGAAGAAGGTGAAATAAACTCATGTTTTATTGCAGTGATGAACTCAGAATCACATAAGGTTGTCTTTCCGCCCATCCGGCTGTCAATGTTTTCTTGTATTCAACCTATTTGTGAGTAATTTTTGAGATATTTTGATGAAATTTGATGCATTGACATGCTTTCGCCTAAGAAAGGCCGCTGTTGAAAATGATTTGGATCGGGACACTTTTTCGACCAAAATGCCCACTTTTCAAAAGGCGCCTTTTGAAAAGCCGCTACACGAATAGCTGTATTAAGTGAAGTGGTGTAGGGGCAGTGTCCCACTGTAGTGTTTTTAATTGATTAATTAATGATAGTATAAAACCGCTCGCAAGTCAATGATCTTACTACAAAAACTTAGAAGAACCTTGTTAATCTTTGAACTCAAATTTTATTCTTAGGCGTAGTGAAAAACCAGTTGCCTTGAAGAATAGTAATTAATCTAAAAAAAAAAAGAAAAAGGAAGAAAGGAAATTATTTTCGTCAACATGCTGAGAAAACCTCTGTAATTTGAATCTTGATTAATCTACATCAGTACATATTGCTAAGTTCAATAATTAAAAGATAAATCAAATCAAAATACACTTTTTTCGAATAACAAGTTTTCAAACGAATGTCAAACTAATATCATTGCATTAGCTATATATCCATTCCTTTTTTCACGACACCCAATGACCATATTCTTTTCCCGAGGCTGGGTAAACGGCTTCACGATAATCGTTTTGAATCTATGGAAAGCAAAAGAAACTCTTTCGCGCGATAACAATTTCTTGCAGCTACGGCAGACGTACCAACTCACTAATAACAAGCGCATCAACGTTTTAAGAGAAGAGTTTTTCAATTGCCTTCGTAAAGCAATTATCAAAAAAACAAAAAAAAAATCCCCTTATATTTTGAACACACAATCAGTTTCATCAATACAGTCTCCTTCAAGAGCAACCCCATCGATCTACATCACTCCTAATGTATCGATCGTTTACTATACGCTTTAGTTTTCGCAATGAGCTAATCATTGTGAGATTTGCAAATAGGCAAAAACCATAGACGATATGGGGACATGGCAGGTGTAATAACAATCTCCAACGCTCCAAATCGCTAATATGCCGATGTTACTGTTCGATTGTCGGTAAACGTGGCTGTATCACGCATAAATTTGCAGTCAAAATAGCGATATCTTTACAAGGTCAACGGTCGCGTGGAACTTCACTTCAACTATTGAATCATTTTCAGTATTCTTCATAGGCCTTGCTAACCATTTCTAACCATTTCTTTTTCGCAACCGCTGCTTTCAGCGTCGTCGGTATTCATACCATCTCAACATATATTTTGTTTTCAAGGGAAGAGAGCCGCCACACCACCTCCCGAACCAATGTCGAATTTCTCCCATCAAACATCACATAAAATACGGATTTTTCCGTTGCTCTCGAAACGAGAAAGGCAGCGCCATGGAAACGCCTATGGCTCCTATACATAATATCGAATTGGCATGAAATTTTGACAAGCGTTGTTCGACTGGTGTTATCAATTTTTTTAGAGACGTTATCTACCTCCCAGGCTTAGGAATTATTGTAGAATCGGATGTAATAGCTCTCTTGTTCTATATATTATCAAGTAAAAATATTTCATGTGGGGATCTTTGCTAATTGCAAGAGAATCTGTGAACTCCCGCAACAGATTCTTGATCTTTGAACTTGAGGAGAACAAAGGTGAAGAGCATAAAAGAAAGTTTGTTTTCGAAATGAATATCACGTAGATGGATACGGCCTAAGTGGTTTTACCGATGATACTTTAATAAAATTCCAGATCGAAATGGCGATCGATAAGTTTGAAAAACATTTCGCGTCTGTGCCGATGGTGATCTTAACAGTTGTTAGTTGCTTCGATAATTAAAAAATTTAATATTTAATATTCAAACTCTATGCAACTCTATGCAAAGGTCTATAAATCAAGGGAGAGAAAATTTGCAAAAAAAAAAAACTTGTTAAAATATAAAAAAAAGTTTTTATTGTTTTAAATTATCATTGAAGCGTCATGGCAAACAATGTTCGAAACGAACATAACGAGACGGCCAACTTCATGCAATATTGCTTTCTACCGATACGTTCTTTTTTTTTCGTTTGTTGCTTTCTTTTTATTTTTTGCTTATAAAAATTCATTACTTTAAAGAAGAATGGCCACAAATTTCCTGGAAGATCGACAAGCATCGACAAAAGTAAAGAACATTCAACAAAGGTTCTTGTTAGAAGAATTTTAAAAGTCCATCAAATAGTCTACAATTACGAAACTCTTTTTGCTAAATGATAAAAATCGCAAAAGTGCATGAAAAGGCATAAAGAAGACAGAGACATAGATAAGGTGCAAATGAGATAGAATAAGAATGCAAGAAAGAAAAAGAGTTAGTCATAGATAGGCGGGAAAGAGAGAGAGAGGAACAAAACTGTATTTAACTAATAGTTTTTTCACTATACATAGAGTCAAAAAATAGAATTTCTCTTCTTTCGCATATTTTGACCCCCTCCGGTAAAAAGCAAAAGCACGAAAAAAAAAAAAGAAACAAAAAACTGTTAAAATTTCGCACCAATCCTATACAATGCCACACGATAGCCTACAATTGCACACATACGCACGCTTGGACATATCATACAAAAATGTGTAAGAGGAACATGCATGCATGTGCCAGGCAATCTCTAGCACCTAACCCAACAACAAAAACATAGTTGAATGAAAGTATAACACAAAAAAAAAAATAAAAAGAAAAAGGAAAAAAAATGAAACAAAAACGCAAATAGTAAAAAATAGACCAGGGGTGCTGCTAGAAACACTTCCCAGATACTATAACGACGACGTCGAGAACGACGACGAGTACGATGATGATGCTGATGCTGATGCTGATGCTGATACTCCATCACACAGACTACAAAGTATTGAAGGCTGTGCTCATGAAATCGAGTTGGAAGCAAAAAAAGAAAACAAAAAAAAAAAAAAACGAACGTAAACGTAAACGTAAAACCAAAAAATTGGGCAAAAAAAAAAAAAAAATTCCTGCTATAGGGGAGCTAAAATGTCTATGCCGCCCTCCTCTACTCAGATGAAAAGCATGTGTGTATGCAGATACGTATGCCTGTGTACGTGTGTACATATATATATATGTGTGTAGGTGGTGTTAAAAGCACAAGATTTGCATGTATATATATGTACAGATAATTAAAAAACAGAAGAGAAAAAGTAAAAAAAAAGTGAAAAATTGTACCGAACACTGACCAAACATATAAAAGTGTTTGCAGAGCGGATGCGAACTGAGGACGGAACGATGCGTAGTATATTTAGTAATACATTCATTGGCATGTGCACGTACAACTCGTATGCATGCAGAAGAAAAATTCACCTACACTGATTCCAACTTATTATTAACACAAAATATCCGATGTATAATACACGCGTATACATATAAATGCATACATAGGTCCAAATGCAGACAGAATGTCAAAAAATGCAAAAATTAAATGAAAACAAAGATAATAAAAAAAACCTATAAAACCAATAACAACAAATGAGAAATTATAATCGATAAGAAGAAAACGAATTTCAGTAACCCTTAGTCTCATCAACCTCAATCAAAGGAAGTCCCCATATCCATATCTAAAAATTTAGGTTAAAGTCTAAGCTCATTTTGGTGAAGGTTCTAAAACTATCTCTGAATAGGAGCCGATGCCGTCGACGTACGCACTCGCGTATCAACTTCAATCAAAGGAAGTCTCCA